AGACTACAGCAAGGAAATGAGATGTCTCTGGAAACACTGCAGATAAATTCCTGCACATACACATGTGCTCCGACCTGGGCAGCAGCACACATATATACATAGTCCCCATGCTCACCCCCACACTTAGAGCCATGGAACTGGGACAACATTTGCCTGACAACATCCTGCAGTCCCCCTCCCCTCCCACCACCTTCTCACCATCCCATGGATGCCAGACTTCTGACTGCTGCCTTGCAGAGGTGGAATAAACTCCGGGAGACTGACTCAGCAGCTACTTTTTAGGAAGGTTCCTCCACCTCTCCATTCTCACTCACCATTTGGCTTCCAGGCAGAGAGGAAAGCCCACACCCATGGGTGTCAGTGCAAATCATAATGACATTCACCAATTTTTTTGTAATTAAAATTTTGGCATTTTAAATAACCAGGCTATTCCCTTCTCTGGACTAAAATCAAGTATTTGCCTATGAAACATAACTACAGATCTGGCTTTTTCCTTATATCTTTTCAGCTCACCCTTTCCTCCCACTTTCCCCACATGAATACACACACACACACACACACACACACACACACACACACTGTGCCTTTTATGTAATCAGTTGATAAGATTGATCTTTTCTTTGAATTTCTCTGATGTAAAATCCACCCACTATTTGTGGGAGGTACAGAGTGATGGATGTAATGTGTGCTTTAAAGATACAGGAGGTACAGGACCACAGATGCAATGTGTGCTTTAAAGACACAACTCTGAGGAGTGGCACAGAGGGGCATCTGGGATAGGGTCTGTGTCTTTTCTGTGCAGCTTTGATTTTGGTAAGAGTGCTATGAAATTCAACACATATTGTTTTATTTCGGACCTAAACTCTTAGATCTTATAGGAACAACTGCTTGAGTCACTGTTACCCAATAGAATGTGAGCTTACACTGCTCAAAACTCCTTGGTGGAGCCTCCATTACTGATGTTCACCCTACGTCTTGATGTCTCCCTCTACATTGCTGTGATGCTGCAATCTGATCTCCTTTGTGGCTATAAAATTCTGTCCCAACTTCTCTGGAAAAAAATCTCTGAGGGGAGAAAAAGCCATTTCTAAAAGATAACATTTTGTATGTTTCCAATTACATAATATTCTTATAAGAATGAAATTACAGATATTTCACAGATTGCTGACAACTGAGAGTGTAACTGGAGAGGAACTAATAGATGTGGCTTTAAAGGAACAGTGCAAGGAGGCCTTGTGACTGGGGAAACATTCTGATTCTTCACTGTGGTGGAACTGCATAGACACATCCAAATGAACACACTCGTGACTGGTGAAACCTAAATCAATTCTCTTTTCCAAATCAGTTTTCAAGTTGTGAAACCATGCCTGGTATCATTATGCTGCACTGGAAAATTAATAGGTCATGGAAATTATCTGGACACTTAAAAAAATCCTGTACATCTATAATTATTTTAAAAAGTTTAATGGTAAAATGCAGCTGACTAAGAACAGGAAATTTTGAAGTTTTTAAAATTGGAATCTAAAGATTATTTCTCAGGTATGTAGTGTTCTTTTTGCAAAGAAAACTTTATAATACTGTAAAGCCTGTACCCAGCTCTTCACTCACTAACTGCAAAGCATGTTTTATGTAACCACACAGCACAAGGTCGTATTGTCACGGCTCAAATAAATTGTTCTTAATAAAATTGAAGTTATCAGTATTCAAATTGTAGAACTAAAACAATAATTTCAGAACAGGAAGAGGGAGTTGATAAATACAAATATGTTGTGTTATACAAAGACAAAAGCTCCAAAACATGTCAAACATTAGTAGCTATAATATTCTAAAAAGTTCTCTTAACACCTCCCCCAAACAAACAGGAAAAAGAAGGCAGTAATGACACTTGATTTAACCTCTGACTGATTAGCTTGGGAGGGGTGGTGGTGATGAAAGGTGTGTGTGTGTGTTTGTTTGTTTGCGCACGCGTGCCTGCCACTTGGAGACCTATCATATGTCATATATCATATATCATATATCATATATTATATATGCTTGCAGAGTTTCCATCAAGCTATCATGCAGTGGTGAATGCAGACTAAAAACAGAAAAAATTAAAACAAAGTAACTACCATGCATTACCAAAGTGCAGAGCAGTCTTAGATACAGACAGCTCCAGAGTGAACATTAGGATGAATCTTGTTCTTCTGGTAACTAGTTGATTATTTTTTCCACAATAAGCCCTGAAAAAACATTCAGTTTGATAAGAGATTCTTACACAGCTGTGCTGATAATCTAATTGCAAAATAAATTTAGCAGATTTGTACAAATATATTGTTTCTAAGTTCCTGGTTTCATGAGCTCTTGATCTATAGTTAATATTCTTAGGCTTAAGAACTGAGACTAGAAAGTCACAATCATTATAGAAGCAGAAAGAAACCCACTTATTTTTCAAGATTATGAGCAGGTCCTAAACTGCCAAGGGGCACTGGGCACCTTACAGCAAGGCTGAACCTAAAGGGTGGAGCTGCAGAATGAGTGGGAGATTGGGGCAGTTATGTGCCCCAAGATGAAATCACTTGCTATAGAATGAAAGCATACTTGGCAGCCCCAAAATAGAGAGGAATAGAGTGTGTAACCCTACAAGAGTATGTCACAACAGAAAATTCCAATGTCTACTTCCTGGTTGCCTCTAATGGTGCCATTTCCCTATTTGAAGCTAGTTCCTAAGCCTTGCCTGGCTTTTGCGTTTAAGTACTAGGTCTTGTCTAGAGTGTGTGTGTGCAATACATTGTTACTGGCTAAATGAATGCTTCTTTGCTACACAAAATTTCTGATGAAAAGTATGAACAGGCTTCTTGGATTGTTTACCCCCAAAGAGTTGGTAGCTATTCCTCAAAGCTCTAATATGGAAACCATCTTCAAGAATAAGAATGACATTCTGATCATAATTAATCACTAATGTACAGTCCTTGTTTACCGGTGAACTCTCCAGACAAGCCAGTCTCCTTCCCTTTTGTTCAAAATCATTTACTGTTTATTCTTAACAACTACTCCATATCCTCACATTATATTCTAGATGAAACAATGTAAAAAAACATAATTCAGACAATAAAAATATTCCCATTATTTGGGGGAAACTAATTGCCCTACTCTCAAACCCTAAGGAAGCTTGACCTGCATATGACATTATCTCTTAATCTTTCTCATAAATGTCACTCTGAATAGGATTTGAAGGAGGGAGTCATATTCACACACATACAAACTACCTGTCATAGATGAAGTGGTTCTGAATGAAAAGAGGAGTAGACAAGAGGCATTTTGTTTAGATACTACAAACTCAATCGTGCTGAAGAACCCAGATGATAGTTAGTGAAGAGCATGCTTAGCTGCAAGTGACGGAAGACATTCACAGGAGTGCCGCCCACATTGAGCTTCTGGGGCAGTGAGACAGCTACAGACCAATCTGAGTTCAACTGTGTTGATAGGAAAACCTTAATGGAGAGGTCCTGACTTCAAAAGCCTGAAAAACAAAACTGCTCTATGACAAACACCTGCAGCACAACACACAACTTCCTGTGGCCTCACAGTAGGGGTGTGGCTTTTTTACTTGTTGCCTTACAGGAAAACTGTTTCTTGTTCTGCCAAATGTGACAGATCACCATTAGAGTCACCTGCAGCCTCAGCAGCACCCACTGTGCACAGGACTAAGGCTCTCTCTCTCTCTCTCTCTCTCTCTCTCTCTCTCTGTGTGTGTGTGTGTGTGTGTGTGTGTGTGACTGTGTGTGTGATAGCACGTGCACTGAATTTGCCACATCCTGAGATTTCATTTGGAGAAGTCACTGTGGGGTACCCTGTCCATTAGGGAAGCAAGTGAAAGCAGAGGTCTTGTGATACTGATAGTTCCAAGGAATGGACTGCAGTCAGGTGGTTTATATGGTGGCTTGGGAGTCACCCTGCAGTTGTGGCTCAGCACTTCAGTTATGGTGGCTCCCTCCCCTCCCCATTCAGAGGTTTTTCTTCTTTTTTTTTTTTCTCGGTGTCATGAAAACATCAGAACAAGATTTACTCGTGCCATGGGAGCTTTCCCTTAACTAGGCAGATAAACTTTCACCAAGGACAACTTTTATAGAGAAGTTTAAATGCTTACTTCACACAGAAAGCACAGCCTTAAATATGCAGTACTTTAATTGTGCAGAGTTTACCTTATCCTAAAATCTGGTCTCTAGCAAATGAAAGAGAGATACGTAAACAATGAACAGTCTCATCTGCAAGTGAGAGTAGCCAAGGACTTGCAGGATATGTCACAGCTTCTCTCCTCTGTATCCTCAAACAGCAAGGAACTAGAAGCACAGCAGTATACCCAGGGCTGGTGCAAAGCACACACCATGAGGCTGCAGGGATCACATCACGGGATGGTGAATTGCTTTTACTACAGTAATATTTCTATCTATGAAAACAATGCATTAAAAAAATTGACCCTCCACATTTCACAACATCCAGGCTTCATTCATTTCAGACAGTAGATTTAAATACAGCAATGCTCACACTCAGATTTACCATTATAGGTGTTTCTTACTACCACGAACCTTCCTTAAAAGCTGTACGTGGCATATCATCTTGGTCTCTGAAGGTAAGGAGACAGCATGGGATGGAAAACTGTTCTGACAGGATAGCTCAGAATCTACTGTCTGTGCATCAAGCAGGACACACACTTCTGCTCCTGACAAACTCCTAACAGAAGAGTTTCCAGCTCGTGTGTCTTTACTGTCTGGAATTCATTTAGGTCCTAAGTGTTCATAACACTTAGAATAAACAAAATGGGCCACATCTTAAAAATCTCACACACGCAAGCTTGGGCTTTTCACCCCTCCCCCAAAAGGCTAATTTAAAAGCAAACACCTGAGAATTCTAAATTAAGCAAAACAGCACTGAGTTAAGTCACTTCCAAACCAAAAAAATCTGCCTGACTGCCCTGCATAGACCATGGAAACCCCTGCAGAGGGACCTCTCATCCATACCTATATTTCATTCCAGTCTGCTTTGCGGTGGACTCTTTGAGAGAAATGTGATGCTGAGGAGTGAAGGTCCCCAGGCTGCGAGCGATGATAGCGACAGTGCGGAATTTGGCCCGGGCTGCGTTCACCACATTGGGGGCGGTGGAGCTCTGCTTGCTCAGAAGTCTGTCCTCACCATTTCGACTCTTCAAATTGTGCTCTGTGCAGGCTATAGAGACTTGCATTGCTTCCCAGGACAGCGCAAGGTCCTCTCAGAACCCCACAGCACAGGCGGTAGGCAGAGGGTGAGCAGTTGGGGTATTTCTGCTGCCTTTTAACCCCTCTTGCCCCCTCCCTTCCTGGATGCCTTCAGAGGAGTCCCGACAGCTGACTTCAGAGTCCACAGTGTCAGGATATGCTGAGGTGCTGGACAGAGTCCCTGGGACTCAAAGAAGTAAACAGCCAAGCTGAAGTTGTCTCAGCAGCTGGAGCGCAGATCAGCTTCCCCAGTCTTCCCAGGCTCAGATCTCCGCTGATTAAACAGCCAGATCCATGTGGTCAGGAGGTTGGTGCAGAAGCCTAGAGCTGAGCGTTCATGGTGACTGCACACAGCCCTGCCTGGAGCCAGTCCGAGGTGCCTGAATGCAGAGGGCAGGCTTCTGGGCGCTGGCTCAAAGCAACGCAGGCATACCGCAAGATGTGCCTCTAGCACCGTCTGGATCACAGGCAGGAGGCTCAACTGGAGAGGAGCATCCCAAGAGGCAGCTAACAGCAAGCGGGGCCCCGCGGACCCGTGGTCTCCATCCACTTTGCCAGTCAGCTGCCTCCCTCCTCTTGTTTTTGGAGGATGCGGAGGTGGAGGTGTCTCAAGACCCCTTCCCACTCATCCTTAGGCGAAAGCTGGGGCTTCTGAGCCGGCACTTACTCGGGTTGGTGATTGTATGGAGGAGCTGGAAGGTCCCTTTAAGGAGTGCCTTGCCTTTGTGTTCAGTGGGAAGGAAAGATCACTGTGACCACTCCTTACTGGAACAGGACTGGGAGGGCTGCTCCGTCAGGGGATTCTGCCTAGATGCCACCAAATTTTGCTGCAGCACAAGAGTTGGAACTGAAGAAGGCTGAGTGGGATGCTCCTCAGCAGCTTGGCATGCCAGTGATTAACACGTGAATAGTGTCTGGCTTGCTGGAACACAGCTTGGAATTCTGCTATAGCCTTGTAAGGGCTCATTTCTCCTCTGCATGTTATTTCTTATGCAGATAAGTTCAAAGTTTCCTGGAAAGCCTCAGTGCAGTATATGTGGAGTCAAATCTGCTAACTTACTGCAAATCTATTTAGAATACCAGAGTAGGGAATTTTGGATGCTGCAGGAAGCAATGAGTTCTCCGCACTGGAGAGGAGTCTGGACAGGTGGGGTTGGGTGCAATGGGGGAGAAACAGGTCAGTATCACTGCCCAGAAGGTTCAGGAGGGTTACTGGAGCCATACACACTGCCCTGGCTACAGTGACAGGCAGCAAGAAGTCCTATGAGCTGAGCCTGAACTTCCATGAGATGCGGATCTTGTCTGTCTGTCCCATTCAGAGCAACTAACTTCCCAAGGAATGTGCTCAGACCAAATTATCAGTCGCTTGATAATTTATCTCTCCATATGAAGTATGTAAGAAGTAACCCCTCCTGTGGATTTGTTTAAATGATGGCTTCAACAAAAGCATGTTTCTGAATATGATTCCTAATTGACCTTACTGTCTTGAAAGGGGACACAGCAAACACTCTTTGTGAACAGCATCTCTGTACTTGGCAATAAAGATCCATATGGAGGGAAAATTATGAAGCCCTGTCTCTGTTGTCAAGGATTAAGCAATCTGGGTGGAAAGAACAAAACATTCAGTCTTCAGAGACTAATAATGCCAGAAATTGCATTCTACATGTCCACAGGAGTGATGCCTATGCTAAGCACACCAGAGTGAAGCAGGGATGGATTTCTGGAGCCTGGAGAACATTCTTTATTTGCTCCATTACCTACACCTCAGTGGAGTCCCTATTGGTATCTGACTCTGCTATTGAGACACAAACATGACAATGTCTAGGGTTTCAGGAAGCATGTGGAGAGACTCAGGCAGTCTTCCTAGAGGTGTGAGACTCCCATGCAGCAAGAACAATGGATCTGATTTGATTGACAGGAGTGGAGGGAAGCAGTCACCCATGGACTGGCATGTTCAGGGATGATACACACTCTGCTTGTGTTGACTGAAATAGATAAAACAGTTGGTCTGATCACTTCTATCCAATCACGTGAAATTGTAGAAATACAATTTTCAAGGAGACTCTCTCTATGCCTGCATTGGGATCAAGTTAATACATTAATCTTAACATTTTTGAACCTGAAGATAAATTTAAAACCACATTATGGAATTTCATCCTTGATCCTAAACACTGTTTGTTACTCTTTCCCTTAGAACATAAATATGTTGCATAAGGGGAAGATTATTTAGGTTGAGTAAGGGTAGAAGAGTTAAATGGGAGCCTCTTCCTTGCACCCTTGTATGCCAGGCAGGGGGCATGTATTTATTCTTTGGGATAAACATCAGGCAGAAAGGAAGCAGATCATAGGAGCCTTTATTTTTGTACACTAAGCCAGCTCATCGGAGCTGATCAACGTGAATCAGGAAAGCAATCAAAATGAAAAGAGGAAGAAGTGGGAGGAATCAAAAGGAACAGCTTTTAGAAAAAAAAGGGAGGTGGGAACCAACAGCAAAGCAGCCTCTCAGAGCAATTGAGTGAGGTGAATACCACCAGGCTGGAAAGGTCAGGAATCTGGGCATCAACTGAGCCACTGGCTGTGAGGGGGTGGGGTGGGGAGTTGGCAGGGGCTCTTAGAGTGCTGCCAGTTTCACAGGAAGGATTGGGAACTTTGAAGGGAAAAGAGACCTGGACATGTTAATTAATGTGGTGCTCAGCTTTGTCACATAACTAGCAGAGAAAGGCCAGAAAGTGCAGGCTAGCCCAGAACATGGAAGAGGTTATCTGAATAAGACATAAAAGGCAGAACACCTCTCTCTCCACAGATAGTGAAGAGGAGACAAAGAAATAAAGAAGAGGGAGAGAGGAAGGTAGGTGGATGGGAGCTGCCATTTCCTGTTTTCTGAGAAGGAATGAATGATAGTTCCACCTTCCCTTCTGCTCCTCTCTTGTGTAGTCCAGTGTCCCAGCCTTTGGGACATGCGGCACAGAGAATCAAAGACCCAAGGCCAGAGGATGCTCACAGTGCAAGCCTCTTTCTTGCTGTTCACAGTGAGCCTTTCATCTGTGGCACCACAGGGACATTCTGACAGGCAACCAGCAGCCCTGCAGCCTCCCTGGACATCCTCACTCTTCCCAGCATTAATGGAGCAGTCAGTTTCAAGAGTCTGGAAATTAGATAACAGTTGGCTATAGAGTGCCCATTCCTATTAAGTTTGCTAACAGGTCACATACTAATGAAGCTGGGGGAACTAGAATTGGAATATGTGTTCTTCACTGTCACACAATGGCATTTAGAGGAATCCTCACTCTGAGAAGATCAGGCTTAAATAGACATGCAAACCTGCACATAGATACAGGTATAGATAGAGTTATGGGCTGGATCTTCTTATCCCAAACTTCATGTATTGAAGCCCTGGCCTCTCCCTAGTATACAACAATGTGACTGTATTTGGAGACAGCCTTTAAAGACATACCTGAAGTATAATGAGACCATAAAGGTGAGCACTAACCTGACATGACACATGCCCTTATAATAAGGACCAGGGTCAGAAGGGAAGACATATAGCAGAAGATCATTGATCTACAAGCCCAGGGCAAAGTCCTCAGAGTAGCCAAGCTTGCTGTCACTTTGATCTCAGACTTACAGTCTGCAGAACTGAGAGAAAATGAACTTTTCCTGTTGTAGCTACTCAGCTTATGGTACTTTGTTGTGCCATGCTGAATTAATACAGGCAGAAATATGATTTATATCTATAATGCCATTCATAAGAAACTATTGGAAATTACTAACGTACAAGCTTCTAAGTGATCATAGTCACGATGAATGTCCTTACATATACTACCCACACCCCAAGCTGCTATTGCTAATGTTCTCCAGGAAGACAGTGTGTTCCCGCTCAGCCTGGGCAATACAGCAAGACTCTGTCACAAAACCCAAAGATAGACAACCATCTACAGATCTGTTCTCTAGGAAGGCTGCCCAAATGTGCTCTGAAGAAAAGCCTCCAAATGAAATGCTTTTATTCCTCTACATAAAGTCATACAGGGTTCTTTGTGGTTGCTCTTTGCTCTTTATTTTTTTGCTAGCATACATTAATTATAAGTGCATGTGACATAGTTTGATAACAGTCACCTCCAAATACCATCTTATCAACACTTTCCCATTCTCATCCTTTCCACCTTCGTGTTGCCTGGTGAGCCTCCATGGGAGAAGTAGTAGCTTTTAGTCACGTTTAGCCATTTCCTTTGTGCAGTCCCCTCAACATACCTATTTTCCTTCCCTAAGGAGTGAGCACCCGCAGAGACACCTTGAAGGAGACAAGTGCAGTCATGACATCTCACATGTAACTTATGAGCAACCTGAAGCTTTCTCACTTCTTTCCTTGAGCTGAAACATGGGGTAGATTGGGCATCTTTATTTCAAAGACCTCTTTGTGTTTGTGTTCTGCAGATGCCATGACTTACATTTCTAGAGGTTGCCATAGCCTAGGATTAATTTATCACTTAATTTTCAGTTTTGCCATGATGGACTCCTATTTATCAACTAATAGTGGAGTTTTAGCATCAGTGTCAGCCATATTGGTTCTTGGCTATTTAAGACAGATAACAGGATGTAAAATTTGCATCCAAGAGCTTTTGTTTTTGTTGTCATCTTAGTGTTCCTGGGGATGCTGGGAACTTGACAACAGGGATATGAGAGTTGCAGTTAAGCCTGAAGCATAGTCTTCCTCTGCCTCCTCCCTTTCCTATGCTCATGAACAGGCTGCTCACACTCTGGGAACCTTGGTTTCCTCATGGAGACATAGTTATGTGAGACTGTGGCTCGCTGGAGCAGTTTCCCATCATGAGCTGTCTTCTCTGGTTGAGGAAACAGAAGGTAAACACATCCAAGATGATGACATTGGCAGAGTTAAGATATAACTGAGTAAGCCTTCCTCTGAATTTTGGTTCTTACCCCCATGCATATTGCTCCTCACCATTAGAGTCCCTTCTCATCAGAAGGACTTCACACACACCCTCTTATGAACGAACACAGTTTAAAAAGAAACACTATTACCATTACGAGTACTCGAAATAAATTTAATTTAGAAAACCTAAATATTAACATTTTATTGAAAATATTTTGTAACTGTTTATTCTTATCCTATTTCTGTAA